AATGGGAAACATGTGTCTTTCCCGGCACTCACAGCCTCACCCCGAGGAACTCTGCAGTGGAGCTCTCTCAACAGAGACAAGGAGCTGATGGAGAAAGCGACGAGGTGGCAACTTGGGTGTTTCTGCTTGCTTCAGATGCACGGCGATGGCAGCAGCGCACAGCAGCTTCTCCGCAGAGGGAGGCACATTGGGCAAGAGCGCCTGGTGCTCCTGCTGGGAAGCCTAGACAAAAGGCAGCAAGGGGGAAATTAATGGCTTTTTAGAAGAGGGAAAAAGCAAAATGATGGGAAAACAACCCCCAGTTTGGAGCCTCGGCCCACCACAGTTTTGTTCCATTTCCTAAGCAAGGGAGAAAAAAAAAAAGAGAAGCTGGAGAAGATGCACAGAAACTGGGGGATCTTTGTTTTTTCTTCATTATTTTTCATGGATCATCACCATCAAAATAGTGGGCATCTTAACACTGTATGCATCATACAGAAAGTATAAGATATGTAATATAAATTGGCTGCATGCCTCATTGTTTTTCTTTCTGGATGTTCTGATCTGTAGTCTTCTGTACAAAACAGATCCTGTAAATAAATCAGTGCAGTGCCCAAAGGCACCAGGCCCAGACTTTGGGCAAGATTAACTCCAGCCATAAAACCTATTCATCACTTTGGCCACCTTCTTCAGTTTCTTGACTATAGGGGATCTCTGGGTAGACGGAGCTTCTGAAGCCAAAAGATGCAGTGCCATCCCTAAAACTTGGGTGCTACTGGGCCTCATGTGGATTTAAGTGCTCAAATAGCCAAGCTTGCTGGATCTGGCTGGTGTCTGACAGCTAGCACTGTTGGGTGTCCAACAGCCACTTTTTGAGAATAAAATTCAGGATTGGGCTGAGGTGTGTCATTTCCCTGGGTGTTCCCTTGCAAAGGTCACTGCTCCTCTCTCCCCACCCCAGTGTATCCCTCTCTGCAACTCTGTTGTTTGTGCAAGACTTCGGGAATTAAAACCTCATTTCAAGGGTTAGGAGTAGACCACAGCAGTGATGCATTGCACTGATTATGAGCAGCAGGCGAGCTGTTCCCTGTCAGCTCTCTTGCCGCAGTAGTGTGCAAGTTCTGTATGGCTTGCACTGATTTTTCTTGCCTGTGAATTCTATTTATTTATTTATTTATTTATTTATTTATTTGTTTATTTTCTAGCAAACAAGAACTCCATTGCATTAGTGGAACAGACTTATCATGATAAATTGCATAGAATAATATTGTTACAGGGTATTGCCATCACCTCAGCAGTAATAGAAATTAAAAATAAAATTAAAAAAAAAAAGTTGAAAAATAGATAGGTATCTGCGAGATAGTTGGGAGTACAATGGGAGGAAAAGATGGCCCTGGCAGGGAAATAGACAGATGTCCTCTTCAGGTGTAAATGTTCGTGTATGGGGACAACACTGGGAAATCTTCATATGAAAGAGTCAAGCCATAGGAAAAGCAGTTGTATTTATGAAAATGTTGGGGTTCAGGACTTCCAAGGGGCTTAAAGTTTCTAGATCTGGAGTTCACTTGTCTGTGACATGAAGGGAACATCATCTTTAGCCTTGGAAAGCCAGGCATCTTGCAGCAGAACCCCTTAAAACAAAGGGAGCCCCAGATCACAGTGCTACTGTAACTAGGCACATCATTGATTAAAGGCCTGGCAGGAAGGTTATCTTTCCTGGCCTCTTGCATAACAGAAGCTAGATAATTAAATTTTATAATCTTTGCATCAAGCCTGTAATTCTCTGCTTGCGTTAGGGTATGGCTTTGAGAAGAAGCCCCCACCTGAGCACCCTGAGAAGTGGTCACCTCCCTGGGCAATTGCTGCAGTTGCCATTAGGAAGGGCCACAACTGGAAAGGGTTTACCATTTCTTCCATCACTTCTGCTGGCTTGGTGAAAGATCGATTTGCCACCGGCAGCCCTTTTCCTTTCCTCTCCCTGCTTTGGGGACCAGCTGGTTGCAATGAACCAGCCTCTCACCATCCTCCTTGGGAAGCTCAATGGCTTGGATTCCTGAGATGCTCAGCCCACAACAAGGTTTTCAAACAGCTGTTTTCAGGAGTGTTTTCCTGAACTCGCACTAATTCACCAGGATCCTCCCCAAAGCCCAGCCTCCACGCCAAGCCCCAGCCGGGCACGTTCCCAGCAGCGCTATATAGGGTAGTAGCCACACTCATAACGCCAGCCTCTGTCTCTCTTTTATTTCTCTATATCATTATGTTGATGTAATAAATATGCAGAGGAGCTCCAGGCATCAGCCATGTCCTTTGTTTGAAACACTCTACCACGTTCTCCCAACTTGGTATTACCATATGATTATATACATGCCAGAGAAATAAGTCCCAATGTCAGTGCTGCTTTTATACTGCAGCTCTGCCTTCCTGTCCTCCCGTCTGCGTTTCCCATCCCACATTCACACGCTCCCATTACATGGCTAGCCTATATTTTACTCCCTCTGTTCTTGCTGCAGCTCTTCTTGGTAAGGGAAGTCTTGATTATATGTTATGGCTGAATGACTTAAATCACAGAAAAAAATGTACGCAGAAGAGCAAAATGAGGTCAAAATGAAGTCAGAGCACTCGGGTTGGGAGGCAGGTCCTTATGGAGGGCTGGTGGCACCTCCCCTCGCTCTACTGAGCCTCCCTGTGCCCATAAGGACTCAGCAGATGCTTAACCTCCAGGGGGAAACCCCAACCCGCCAAGCCAGCCCAAAGTGAGCTGGTGCAGGCCAAAATTTTATAAGCAGGCTGCAAACGTGGGCTGCCGGGAAGATTTCTGCCTATTTCCAGCACTGGGAAAATGCACGAGCAGGGAAGTCGTATTTATATAAGTCAAGGAAAACACTGTTTCCTTCTTCAGCAGGAAACAGAAGTTATTCTCAGAGCTTCAGCAAAAGAACAAGAAATTAAATAAAGTGCTGGCAGCCTAAACTTGTTTTATTCTTGTGGTTTTACAATCTCCGAGTCAAAATAAACACATTTTCGATCTCAGGATAATTATTAGGGTAATAATTGGGGGGGGGGGAAGTTATTTACAGGCTCCAATGGAATCATTCGATGAATCATGTGAACTGAAACAACAGATTCAGGGCAAGAAAACTCACATTTATGCAACTCTCTGGTTTGATTCTTTTGTTAGAGGGCACCCAGATGCTGCAATATAAGATTGGGCAAACCTTTGGGTGCTCCCAGCAGGAGTTTTGCCTGAGAGAAGAGCAGTGACCACTATTGCAACAACTGATTTCTTTCAGTTAAGAGCTTTGATGAATTTTAATGGTGTTGATCCTCCTTAAGTCTGGGGTGGGGTCTCATGGTAGTGCCAAACCAGAGCCCCTGGGTGAGGGCTTACGTCCCAGGCAGGGTAGGGTGCTAATTTGCACTACCTTGTGATATCCGATGAGGCAGATGAAAAGCAAAGGAGAATTTTGAATCTTCATACCTTGAAGTGCTTACCATCGCACCTCTTAATAACTCAATTTAGCATTTAATAAGAGGAAAGGTTTTCTTAAAGGGAAACTGGAAAGTGGAGCACTCAGTGGGATAAGTGCCTGGGGCAAAGTGGTTTTTGGGAGCTGTGTCTACTACAGCAAGAGATGCAGTTGCAAGGGTAACCAAAGTGTAGTTACAAGAAATAGCTACAAGACGTAGTCACAAGGGGAACTACAAGAGGTAGCTGCAAGGGTACGTAACGGAGGTAGTTGTAAGGCTCTTGGCACTTTGAGAGTGAAGGGCACAGGAAAAGGAGCAGGTATGGGGCCTCCTACACAGGAATGATGCAATCACAGTAACTCCTGAAGCTTTTTGTCCCTTCTTTCACTAAAGCAAAGACAAAAGAAGGTAGCAGAAGGGTGAGAATGTCTTGAATTGAATATTCTTTTCAAAACCAAAGTGGGCTAGGAACACTTCACCCTGCATGGAGCAATCCCGAGGTTTAGGCTGCTGTTTAAAGGGTAGAGGTTTAACTCCGAAACAAGCCCATAATTTTTATAAACAAGGCTCCTATTTCCCTTCTGGAAATATATATATGGAAACCCACGTACGCATGAAGCCTAAGACATGCACGAGAAGACCATTGAAGCCTTGTTATCTTTGCTTTTGTTCTGCTTTCCTGGTGCTTTTTCAATTCCCTTACCGGTACTGCCTTGGAATCGACTCCCTTTTCCAGGATGAGCTTTTCACAGGGCCGCAGGGCTTTGTTCTCGCCCCGCTGCCCCTCACCCTTGTTTGTTGTGCGGTCCCTGGGGTGTGCTTCTGCTCTTGTAGGGGGCCAGTGGCGGAGAGGAAGAGGCAGAGGATGTGAACTCCCATGTTTGAGCACAAAGAGAGAGGTGGACCCGTTCACTCCTATGCTCAACGCTCCTCAGCAGGCAGAGAGAGCTCCTGGAGTTAAAGAGCAAAATACCCACCAAGGGCTGGGGCAGAGGGGTGTAAGCTGGGTTTCTCCCCACCAAATGGCACAGTGGCACTGTCTGCAGCCCTCGCTGCCATCATTGCCTTCTCGATCCTTATGCGCGTTCTTCAGATCTGCGTGGGAGTCTCCTATGCGACTTCCAGGTATAAAACTTTTTGGCTCCAGAGAAGCTGCTTCACATACCACGGCAAGGAACATAAATACATCAGTGCCTGATGGCGCCTGGGAGGGAGCCATGACCATTCCCAGGCACGTAGGACTGGAAGGGACCACCTGCGTCACGGGGCTCAGTCACCGGCTCCTCACAAACACCTTCCACAAGCTGGTCAAGCACCGGCTCCTCAGTGATTTCCTGGTTGTTCTTGCAGCTGCTGCCCCTTGCTTGTTAAAAGCTTGGCATAAGTACCGGAGCAATTCCGTTTGCCTCAATATTTTTGTCACCTAAAGGATCACAGGGCCTTTTTGAGGAAGATCCAGAGTCCATCTGATGCAGATGCCATCATGATTCCCCTTTGTAAAAATAAGAGTAGTAAGCAACAAAGCTAACATGCATATTCATTTATTGCACCTTTTTTATTTTATTTTATTTTCCCCTGAAAATTTTCTGGTTTGTTTTCTTTTAGCTCTTTGCTTGCTCTCCTGAGAACATAGGCCTGGAGGAGATTTCATGTTTGGTGGTCCAGCATGGGGAGGCAAGGCTGCAGTCATTTTGCAGCCCTTCTCCCCATGTCTTAGGGCCCCAGCGACCCACAGGCACAGCCTGAGGACTGCTGGGTGGGTGGTAAAGGGAGACCTGCCTAAGGCTCTTGCTTTTTGCCTTCTCCCCAGTGGCTATCATGAATAATCAAATCATTAAAGTGAACGATGTGCTGTGATATAACCTCAGCCTAACCACCTTCTGCATCTTCACAACAGTGCTGCCTCCGCCATCCCCCTTGTCCAAATTATACAGCTTAGGAGCCAGATCTTAGAGATGATCTGTGCTATAAACAGTATTGTTAGGGGAAGAAAGAATTAATTAATTTCAGTGATGAACATTTCTTCACAGTGACACGCAGCTGTGGACAGCATGCAATCCATAGGCACTGGGAAGCAGCAGAGAAGTGTTCCTTAATTTGTTGTTTTTGTTGGTGTTTTGACTATTTTTATTTGCTTATTTGCTTGTTTGTTCATTTTTATTTGTTGCAGAGCCATCATATCATGAAATCATACTCAGTGATTGAAAACATGTATTTCAGAGTCACGCTGTGTGGCAGACATGGTCATAGGGTTGAGCTGAAGGGTTCTCCAGTGTGACAGCCCTGCCTCCGAATAGTCCCAGAGTAACAGTGTTGGGACCTGAGGGTCCTCAAACTCAATGAAACTAGAGCAAGTTAGCGTGCACTTGTTGCAGATTAACAGGAGCACATGGACACTTACAGCAGAGCAGCCACCGTGCTGTCAGTGCATGGTGGGAACCTGCCTGGGACGCCGTCCCCACCGCCGGGCCGATCGGTGGTTATCTCAAGGTCAGGCGTGCAGGAAGCCACCAGGACGCCGTGAATATTGTGTGAGTGGGAGCTGCTGGCGGGGCTATCAGAGTTTCCCAGGTCAGCAGGACAAGCAGGGAGTTGCCCGAGCTCAGGACGAAGCAGGAAGAAATGAAGATGGCGCCGAAAATCCTGGTGGGAAGGTTCAAAGCACAGCCTGTGCAAAAGACCCCCGTCAGCAAGGGGAGGCCAGGGCTGCATCGATGCCTGCCCCAAGCATGCCCTAGTGTGAGTCCTAAATCCACACTGCTTCCTCTTAACACCACCCCACCTTCCCCTATGCCCTTTCTATACCTTCAGCTGCCAAGGTGAGAATTACATTTGCAGTGCTTTGCAATTTAGTGTGGACAAGCATGTTATTGTAATGGTCTATGGATGCCTTTTCACCAACTTTTTGCACAGCAGTCCCTGCCCTGTAGAACCAACTCTGGTGAGGCTGAACTTACCCCCACAAAAAGCCTTTGGGGTCTTTTTGCTTCGTGTTTACGCATTTCTTCATCTGAGAATATCCCCGTCCATGGAGCAGCTCACAGGCAAATAACGACAGCGGCTATAATAAAATCACCACCAGCTTCTGGATTGTCTTGAGGGTGAAAACTAATGATGACGTGGCTGCACAGCCATAAAATCAACAGCAGCTTTCCAAAAAAATCCAGAAGGCAATGTCTGCGGGAGCACCAGTCATCGGTAACATCTTTAAGGGTTAAAGTAGCAAGCTGACAAAAGCTTTAATGTTTTTACAGCGCACAGACATGTAACATACAATACAGGACAATTTGTTCTATTGATGTCTAAAAATGCTTAATGGAGAAACAGGCTGTTAAAATACAGGATACTTTATAGGTTAGCTCTTCTCCATACTTTATCCTCTGGTATTTGCCAAGTTAGCAGAGCATCAGACTTCAAGTCACATTTATGCTTCTTCAGAGCAGTTTTTCCACTAAAAGCTTAGCTAAAAGACATACATATTAGTGAAAAGGAGTCATTCATTCTTGTCACACAATTTGTCCTCAGAACAGTTGCAAATCCTGCATATCGTTTTTTTTTTAATCGAGGGGAAATAAAACAGCTTTTATATAGTTAAACAATTGTCCACAGTCTCTCCCAAGAATGGAAAAATGCCCTAAAAATGGAAAGCAGGTGGGTTTTCTCCACATCAAGTTGCTTCTTTTGCACAAGAACAAATAGGCTACATCCTTGTTCTCTGTTTAAAAATAAAATAAATAAAAGCAACAGAATTGGTATATCTTCTAAAAGAGTCCTGTAAGCAGGAGATCTCTAGGAAGTGTTCTTTGGTGCCTGCGCTGGCTTTTTGTGTCTGCAGTTTCTTCTAAGTGGATTGACAAAATTTTCCTACTTTCCTACCATACCACTGCAACCTTGGCATCCCACATTTCCTTTCCATTGCTGCTAACATGGGAATTTCTGCATATTTCTTTGATGTTGCTGCTGGCTGGGGAGCGTCAAAGCCAAAGAACACAGAGAGGATGTCTTCAGAGATGTCAATGGGGACAGGCAACCAGAAGAATGGTACGTCGCTGGCTGAAAAGAGACACCTGAGGATGTAGGAGGAAAAAGAGATGCTCAGCAAAACAACCTCTGCTGCAAGACTCTGGCTCTGAAGCTCCCTAGCACTTCACTGGGGATTTGCTTCCTTACTTCTATAGGTCTTTATTAACTCAGAAGCCTCCTTGGTGGAAATATAGATGGCAAAAATGGACAATTCTGACATGTATTTTTACAGGCAGGTGGATCCCAGCCAAGCGCTCAGTCATGCCATTATTTTAGGCATAGGTTATCAGCAATGCACACTAAAATGCTGGGTTAGGAGAGCAGCTTTCAGAAGAAATGATCCTGCTAAACCTGGAAATACTCTCAGACCCCTGTGGCACAGGAACAATAAGTTAAGTGAGTGGCAAAGCAAACCCCATGACCTGAACATCTGCAGATTTCAGAGGCATTTAAAACAAAACCTCAGACTGAACTCAGAGGCCTAGCACCATGCATGACAACAAGACAGAAAATTGTGTTGATATTACTGAGGCACTACGTGGGATGAAGTTCGCTTCAGGGTCAAATTTGGGTATCTTCCTGGCTTTTCTGGATTTTTTTTTTTTTTAATTTTTGGAAGTACTCTATCTAACTCAGCAAGAAGAACCCGATGGACACCTGCAGATTGCTCTGCTCTCGACAGCATCACTCCCAGATAAACCAGTCCACCTTATTTATTGTGCCAGCTAATGGAGGAATAAAGGCAGACAGGACAGTTCCATTTTGCTATTTTTCCTCCCATTTTTATTTTTCACGGCCTGTCACCGATTCCCTTTCCTCCCCCTTTTTTTCCCCCCTATTAAAACAAAACATCTGCTGCTGTTTTAAGATGTGGTGGGCTTTCGCAGGCTGTTATGGACAAAGATAGCACTTGGCAGGGAGAGGAGCTGAGCAAGAGCCACAGCAGGTGAAGGGTTTTAATTCCCCCATTACTGTAATCAGCTGCCACAGCCGCGGGAGGCAGTGGTAATGATTTCCAAACCCAAAAGCCTGGCAAAGGGCAAGTGTTCACACGATGAGGGAGCGCTGGCTGGCTGGACGTGGGCTTGGCCCCATCCATCAGGGCTCTGCAGAGCTCAGCTGGTGACTAGTCGCTGCGTCACTCCTTTCTGATTAAATTCCCATTAAGTTTAAAATAATAATATATCCTTAGTGGAATATGAAACTCTGGAAGAAGAAGAAAAAAAATCTTCGTGGGGTTTTTTTGGCCAGTGATGATCTAAGGTCCAGCCCTGAGGAAGCATATGGGAATGGCTCTGTGATCATGCTCTTCTGTTACAGTGGGGAGCTTATCCTTGCTTTTTCTATGACCACAAAATCCAAATTCAGTGGCTATCCAAGACCCTTTTTATGATTTTGACAATGAAAAAAGCCTGAACAATATACATAAATTATTATGTGTGAACTATAAGGCACAGAAGCGCCCAAATCTTTCAGCAGACAATTTCTCAAAGGAGGTTGATCAGAACAACCTGCACATTTGTGTCCAAGATCTTTGGTCTAACATTTTTCTCTCCCAGCTATCTAACCCTTTTTTTCATTATCTGTCTGCTCGCCGTCCTGAGTGGGAGCCAAGCAGACAGAGCAGAAGGGGCCACAAGGTATTTTGGCATCCGCAGTCAGACCAGACTTGAAGGAACAGATAGAGGTAGGGTCCACGCCACTGGATTCCCAAAGCAGGGAGCATCCATCTTTACCACCACTAAGATTTGCCTGCACAGCCAAGGACCAGTAGTTACTACACCAGCAGTACTATTAATTATATTAATAATACATCTTCTTGGTTTATGTTTCTTATCCTTTAAGTTCTTCAGTCCGCCAGTCACTGGGGAGGGAATAACAGTTTGTGTCCAGCCCAGAAATCAGATCTGCCTTGTTTTAGCACTGAAAATAGACGAGGAGACCCTAGGAAAAATAAATAAATAAATAGGTAATAGTGCATTAATTGAAACTTCTTGCTAAATGTGAGATATGTCTAACTTAATTTAGTACCTATATAATCATTTTAGGGATCTTATTCTTGTGGTTCAAGTCAGAAGACAAAAAAAGGAATCATTGCAGCTTTTCCATGGCCAATATTTACACTTAAGAAACACTGATAAAAAAGTAAGAATATTTTCCAGGGCCAGCACTCCCTCTTGTCACAAAAACTATTTACCAGATCTGAACCCACTCACAGTCTTTCTTTTCCCAGAGCCCCATTTTGAGGGATGAACTTTTGCAGAAACTTACCCTAATCCTGGATAGTTTCAATTGCCCCAGTCAGGGAGCAGATATAGCTGAGCCCCATGGGTCTGCCATGGACCTCCACATACCCCATGGGTCTGCCTCCCCTTCATCCCACCAACACCCCACCCAGGCTACCTGGATTTACGTGGTGAGTTGCCAGATGCAGTACATGGTAGTCCTGGGGGAAAGTGGAGGAGCAGCTGAAATGATGTGTGTCATCTGAAGAGTAAATGTGTGCCCAGATAATAACAGCAGGCTACCCGATGCTTGAGTCCAGCATGTATAAATAGGTAGTAGAAGTGTGAGGGCTTTGGCAAATGCCTGCTCCTGTTTGTGCTTGCTTAGGTTTGGGATAAGGCTTTCCTACTCAAAGCTAATTCACATCAGTCAGGTTACCTGGGAAAAGATTAGGAGAACAGCAAAAGAAGAGGCCATAAATCATCTTAAGACTTCTGGAGATCAGGTTGAATTCCTTGGGACCACGAGGCTGGGGGCAAACACAGGAATGCAGCGTGTAATGGACTTGCTTATCACCCTGGTGCTGTATCCAGGAGTTATTAATGGGCTCTGGCGTGCTGTGACAGTAACACGAGCTTGAGGAGCAGCCTAATAAAAGAGGCTCCCTACTCCAGACAGCAGAGCCAGGTCGCTCGTAGACATCGCAGCCTCAGTGCTGCCTCCCAAAGACACGACGTTGGTCGTCTGCTGTTTCCACCGTATGTTTCCTCCATCTCTGTGCCTGGAAGGATTTTAATGGCTCCCGCGATGATCGGGCTCAGATTATTAAGGTATTAGAGAGCAAAAGAAAGCTCCTTGAAATCCTGGGAAACTCTACCTGGCACACACCGAGGGGCTGATAACACCACCCTCTGTGACACACCAGCAGAGGGTAGGAGGAGCCGAGCCATTAATCTTTTGTAATCTAGCTGGAATGAAGTGACAGTGATGAAGTAGTTTGTAATGGACTTCCTGAATCCTCATACAAATGGAGGAAGTGACCACCCTTGACCAGATTTCTGCTCATTTAGCCAGCTTCCCTGCCTGCATTACGCATTTTTCCCTTTTGCAATCGGTTCTGACCCTGCTTTAGCCGGGCTGGTGCGTTAATGCTCCACCAACCCGTGAGAGCAGGGGTCTGGAGGGGATGGGGTCTTCCTGAGGAGTGGGGCACAGGGTGTCATCCAGCAGCAATAAATCTGATAAATCTGCAGTGCTTCTGGAGGCTCTGGGGTCTCTGGAGGGCCAGAAAGGCCCCTCTGGGGTGGCAGCCTCCTGGGGGGGCCTGGGGAAATCCAACCTGGTGGTGCCCCAAAGCTCCAGGCTCTCCTGAGAACACCAAGAAGCACTGTCCTCAGGTTGTCCCAACTATATGGAGAGGGTCTGCCCTTCCTGGTGGCTTCAGTCAGCAGAGACACGGTGTTCAGCAGCCAGCAGCTGTGCTGGAGGAGCCGGAGCCTTGCAATACTGTGTCCTGTAGGCCGCACGTGGGAGAGGATGGCTTTATTTTGGGAAGGCGTCAGTCGAGCTCTATTGTCCTGGCATACCCATGTTACAAAACCATGTTGGGGACCCATCCCTGCCTCGTGATGGGCTTGTGTAACCCTCCAGCAGCATTTGTGTTGAAAAGGGACCACGACCTTCCCTTTGTGGAGCAGCGCTGCATTGCCACAGCCGGGAGCTCTGGCAGACAAACCCCAGCAAGCTTATGAACTCCCTGTCTCCCACCCAACAAGCTGGTCAGGAACATACCCTGAAGGCCCATGTTGAAGAGTCAGTGTAAAACAAAAAAGAGACCACAGATTACGGCCCATGGGAGCTTCAAACCACGCCAAAGGCAAGAGCCAGTGGACCCTATAGCCATAGAAGGGCATATTCGGGGCCGGTTCCCAGCATCCTGACCTTGGTTTCAAGTGCTGGCTTTGGAAATACTGTCTGGCAGTCTGTGTGGGCTCTGCCTCTGGCATCGGGCTGGCAGGAGGAGGTAAAAGCTCAGAGAAATTCCTTGGCTGATCTGGCCCTGGGAGCCTCGCAAGCGTGGGGACAAAACCCTAGGCTGCGATGAGGTGGCTGCAGAGAGGGAGCAGAGGTGACCCCAAGAGGATGTGGAGCAGGATAGTGAGAGAATTCCCACAGCCCAGCCCTCATTAATTTCACCAGCAAGGAGAGTTGGCCCACCAGGTTTCAGTTCAGGCACAGGCTTTGATTTTTTCACTTTTTTCCTGATCAAAATCCTGGGTATTCTGAGCAGGAAGGAATCTGAGACAGCTGTACCCCTTGACACCAGTTCTGGATCTGGCCAGTTGGTCCTGACATGTTTTAAAACAAAAATGACATTATCAGTGGTCTTTGGTCCTGCTCTGTCCTAGCTCCCACATCCTGGAGCTCATCACTCAGCAAAGAGTCCCCTCTGATCTTCACAAATGTGGATTCACCCACAGGGGAGAGTCACAACCAGGCACTAAGGTTTGTGTAACCTGATAGTTCTTTTCTACCTTTTTAAAAAAGTTAAAAAAAATCTTTTTCATCTGAACCAGGAAGACCTAAAGACTTAGTAAAATGTTCAGGCTATGATCCAGTGTTTTTTTGTCACTTAGTTATCTAAATAAGGCACAGAAAGCTCCTGCATTTCAGGCCAGGCTCTCCACAAAATGTGTAGAACAGGAGAGGTGCGAATGGAAACCTTGGTGGCATTAGGTGTTGTTTTTCTAAACATTCCCCATCAGTAAGCAGGCAGCCTCTCAGTGCTGCACAGTCCCACTGAGGTCTTTAAAATCATATTTCTAGGATTTCTCTAAACCAGGGGCCTCAAGCTTTTAAACACAAAGGGAGCTGGGGAATGGTTTCTTTAGCAAGAGATTTGAGCAAATCAGTGCTTTTTGTCTCACTTTTTTTTTTTTTTTTTTTTTTTTTTTTTTTTTAATGGACATCTGCTGGGGTTTATATTTTTTGAGCCGTGGGGGTGAAGGGGGTAGAGGGGGAAAGAGAGGTTTGCAGACGGGGTGAGCACAACTTATTCTGGAAAAAATCCCGGATGCTATAAATGGGAGCCCCCTAACAGTGCAGCTCATCTGAAGCAAAATGAAAATATCAGGCATCCAAGAAACATATGTGCAGATGGCTTAGAGCCCAGTCTCCTTACTAGGGCTCTGCATTAAATAAAATGCACCGGGTCATGTTGCTACAGATATAAGAGATTACTAGGTGCAATGTGCACTTCTCTGTGAAACTGCAGGTTTTTAAACAATTGGAAATACAGACCTTGTTTATGGATCAAGCAAATGGCTTCAGTCAAGCAGAACAGCCGCTTTTTTTTTTTTGGCTAGGGCTGGGGTCAGGAGGCTCGTACTCTGTTTGCGAGACTTCACTGCAGACACCGCTCCGAAGGAGAGCAGTCTCAACACCAACTTGAGAAGTGGCGTCCAAGAGGGCTATTGACTATGACCTGTATTTTTGAAGGATGATATGAATCAATCCAGAGCCTTGGCAGGACCCCGCGGCTGGGGCTTGTGCTTTCAGCCAATGTCAATTATGTCATTACTGAGCCTGCAGAAGCTATTACTAATGTTACTTTTACAGTTCACTGCCGACCAGAGAAAAGAGTTTTTCACACTGTTGTCGTTTTGTTGGAGCAAGACTATACGAATCGCAGATGGCTTCCTTGCCAGATGCAGCCTCGCAGGACGGCAGTTTGGGGTTTACAAGAGGTTTAATGAAAACTTGGCATTTTCCCAACTTTTGGCAAATACTCTTGGGCTGTCAACTCACGCAAGCAAGTCAAGATCCTAAAAATGTCGAATGACTTGTTCTCACCAAACGGGGAGGTGAAAAGTTTTACCTGAGAAACCAAATCCAAATGAGCAAACCAATACAATATCACACTGGGCCTGAGCTCATGATCACTGCAGTTATTGAAAGGCTCTCACTGAGTGCTGGATCTGTTCCCAAGTGTATGCTATTGCTTTGGAGGGGTCCAACGTATTTCAGCTGACATGGTACATTGAATGTGGAGGGGGGAAGAGGGGGAGAAGTGACATCCAGGTGTGTTGAAAATCACATCATCCTGTCTTTGATGTCTGCTGCTTATATTTCAGGGATGACTTTGCTGCTTTGTCTTGGAAGGAGAGTTTGCTTCCTAGCTTTTCTGCTTGATTTGTTTTTCCCTGATGGTTCGAGCAGCTCGTTTAAATTGTGTTAAAGGAAATTCTCAGGTGTGTGCCTTCAAATGGATGGCATCTCCTATACTCAACAACATGTCCAAGTGGTGCAGAACTAACCAGCTTCTCCAGCACCAAGTTGGAAACTTTTCACATTATTTGAGTTCTCAAGCCTATTATTTCCCTTTTCCTGTTCATGGATATTTGCATTCAGCAAAACTTGGCATAGCATGGTGTCATGTTAAGCATAACTCTTCTTAGTTTACCAGTACCACCATTCTCCATTCCCACCACCCTGGCCTAATATTCGTCTTTGTCTACACTGCCAAATGGAGTCAGCTGCAGTGATTTGGCTGTGAATTTTCTTCAGTTATGGTTTGGATGAGAAATGATTTCCTAGGTCCCAGTAGCCTCAAAATGCTGTCTTGTGTGCAATGCATGGGAAGAAAAATGCCAGGAGCTGCCCCAGTGAGACAGAACACAACTGTGCCTGTGTGTACACAAAAGCATGCATTGGGGCCATTCAGAAAATCAGCTCCAACAAACAAACCCTGAAACATTATTCACACTGAGTCTCAAGGTAATGAGCCTCTCCCCGTGGGCCCTGAGCAGTCTCCCATAACCAACTGCCTTTGCCTTAGCCAGCCTGCTGATCTTTGAATATCTTCATCCTGAGCCTAGCTTGAACGGTACATTTTTTATCACCGTTGGTGCACAAACCAGATGATTGAATTCTCCAGAGGAAGGAGGAAGTAGCACTTTACGTCCATGTGGCAAAGGGATTAACTAACCGGCTGGAGAAATGTAATCATGGAGATGTCATCCTTTTTCCGCTGACGGAGGTTTGGATGCAGACCTGATATCTAACCCTCCTTTGCACTCCTGTGGATCCAGTCTTCTTCAGAATTGCTCTTAAATGGGGTTTTTCTGACTTTACAGAAATGAAATTCATTTGCCAAGATGCAAATTGAATCAACATCCCCGAGACAAAGCACACCAAGCACCATGGGTCTCCCTCTTTTGTTGGAGATTGCATGGCTGAGCTGGAGATTGCCTTAGAGGAACTATAAAAGACTGTAAATCTCTCCCCCTTCTCCTTCACAAAAGAAAAATAGTAAGTGCTTTTTCAAAGAAGTTTCTTATAATCTTTAGTTTTCTAGATGAACCCTGGATAGGACCAGAAGAAATCAACTGATTTGTGATTACTAATCCTTAAAAAGTGCCATGTGTCTTTCCATAGAGCGATGGCTTGCTGACTCAGGAGGGTGATTGCTGGTTGAACGCTTCAGAGCTGCATAATATGCCCTGCTTTATGCAATAGAAGAGGCATATCCTAGTACAGCAGTAGTCCTAGTAGTAATCATCCTTGAAGTACTTTCAACTTTAAGTTATTCTTTCTTGATCTGTGTGTTGGTGTTTTGTTTTTGTTTTTTTTTGTTTGTTTGTTTTTTCCTCCAGTGAAACCTTAAGAACCTTTATTCTCATGGTATAAAACACTTTGACCTCTGTTCTGCAAATGTTTCTCCATAGGTGTCTCAAGGATCTCGTCCTTACCAAGTTCTGAGTCTCAAAGGAAAGTTCTGGAGCTCTGAAGAAATGACTATGAAATGCAGAAGTGTGGGAGAGGAGTATTTAATACCTTTATACACTGTAAATATTTGATGTGGTCCCTTAGCTAAGGCAGATTTCATCTCACTACCCCCTGCATACATCTATACTCAGCGAAGACATCGAGATGTCTCCAGAGCATTGTGGACATCCATGACCTGCCTTCCTGAGGAACCAGCATCTCTTTGTTGACTAAAATGGAACCTAACTAATGCAGGCAGTAGGTGAAGTGACTCCTATCCCTATGCTAAATTGTGCTTTCTTCCTTCCTCCCATAAAATAAAAATGAATGCATCTCCACCTGAAAGAGCTGCTGTAAGGACCCAGACCTTACGGAGAAGGAAGTGCTTAAATGAGCCAGCAAGGCGGTCATGGTAAATACCTACATTCAAGAGTGCGTGGTTGGTAATGTATAACATTCCCTAGTAAAATCACAGTGTTATTAATTTTTCTGGCTTTTATACCTCTGGAATGGTAAAAGCAAGAGGAGAAATCTGGCCTAGTGATCCATCATCAGGGGCTTTGAAATAGAGCCAAGTTGAGTGAAATTTGAGTGAGCCCTTAGAAACACAAGGAGAGCGAAAGCAACAAGTGCATTTTACTGAGCTATGATATCATCCTGTATTCGTTCTAGAGGGGAAGCTGTTTATCGGATGTGTAGGAAAGGAAAGAGAAGCAGAAAAGCACAGACATACATTTAAATATTAAAAGCCGCCCCAGGAAAGAACTTAAAATCTGAGGTCATTTCCTTGATGAGCTTAAAACATTATTTGTCATCCACACTGAACCAGAAGAAAAAGAGAAATAAAAGCATAGGAAAAGTCCGTCGCACCCTTGGCACTCATGGTTTGGATGGGAAGGCGCTGAGCTGCGATGGGTGGCAGCGAGCCAGAGCTGGCCCAGCCAGCCCACGAGGCTGCCCTTTGATCTGCTTGGGGCTGGCTCTGAGCACCAAGGTGGCAAAATTTGTCGGGGGGAGCCGAGGAGGCTTGTCAAAGTCATGGTACCACCTAGGGGCGTTTCACATTGCCATTCCACCAGAGTGCTGAGCCATTTGTTAGAGCCTGAAAACAAGTGGTCTCGAAGCAAAGACCCTTCTCTACCCTGTCTAGGTTGTGTGTATCTGGAGGGACACATAAACTCACTCCAGAGAAGGTAGGAAAGAGGAGATCTAACCAGCACCTCCAGGAGGCTGCCTTATCTGCTTTAATATCACAATATCATGTTGTTTTTCTGGCTTGATTTAAAAGTTTCATTTGCATATCAACACAAAGTTGGTGTAGTAGGGCATTGTTACATATCGTAATTAAGTGTAAAGGGCAGAAGTGTCCCTTGTAAGTATGATCTTCACGCCAATGATGATCAGGAGGGTGCAGAGTGGAGACCCCAGAAGGCAGAGCCAGAGTGAAGCAGCAGCTTGTGCTCAAGTCCAGTGGAAATGGATGGGTAACTGGAAGACAATATAGTGCTTCACTGGGAACTGAGTTAATAACCTGGGACCTGGATCTGCCTGATGATAGCACCTGTTTGAGACTCAAGCCCCTTTATTGCTAGGGGTAAGCAGGCACTGCGGTTTTCACTGTGCATTGGTCCCTGAACAACACGGTGAGACTCACTCTGCAGCGAGCTTGTGGTTTGCCCGGAAGCACTGAGTTGCCCTTTGGTCTGCAGATGCTGTTCAGCTTCTGGATTGTGCAGCTCCAAACATATCCTTGGTCCCCTGTTATCAAGGGCTCCCAGCACACAGATTCTGAGCTCAGGAAGACACTGCCTTTCCAGGCTGTGGGAGCTGTACAT